ATACAATCAATAAAATGCAGACATTATAGCACAATAGCCCAGTGTCACCTAAACATTCTGCTGTTCTGAAATACAGTAAATGTGTCATCACATATAGGGTTTAAACATCTGTCCAATGCCAATATATATATATTTTTGCAACTATCTGCTGAAACCAATATTGATTCCAGTATTATCAAACTAGCATTCCTAGTTTGGATATCTGTATATTCGAGTAGCCATGCCTAACTCTGCTAGACAGAAAGATGGGTGGTGTTTCGTTTCCCGAACTTGTTGTAGGCAAGCCGTTGCTTGGCTCGAGGCCCACCTTTTTGCCAATTGAGCCACAATAAGACCCTCAGCATCCATGCTAGGGCCCCAGCAGCCTTCCGTCAATGCAGCTTTGTGTGCCGCTCGCTGCAACTGTTAATGAGCCTCCAATTTGGCTTCATGACATTGGTTCCTTTCCCCTCGTCGCACGTTTGACTTTATCAGAGCATTACCCCAACCAGCAGTGCAATGACAAGTCTAATATCACTCAGCGGGCCACTCGCTCCTGGAGACTTTAGCATGACGTCGACCTCGTTTGAACCCTCAAGCAGATGGCAGTGTCCCATGCAGCGCGATGTAAGGGCCGTTTGAGGTAAACGTAAAAGCATGAAATGAAGTTAATGTTGCAGAAGTCATCCAATCAGCGTAATCTGTGGATGGATTTTTTTAAAGACTGGCTTTTTGTGCGCCTGATCTTGCTGCCTCTCTCGCTTTCCCTTTCCCTTTCTTTGTCTCTCCCTCTTCTCACTCTCTCCCTTTGTCTTTCGTTCGTTCTTGATGTGTGTTTTCCTTTGATCTGCTGACTCTGCTGTATTTGTGCAGCGAGAACTACGTTATGATGTATAAAGACCTTTAGTTCACAGGGGCTCTTACCATCTCTTCTGACTGCCCTACCTTCTCAAAGCAGCCTCTGTCCCTCCATGAATGACATTGTGTTGGTGCTAACACAGTTATTTCAATGGACCATTCTGACCATGTTCTCTGTGGTGTGCTGCGAAGACCACCCTGTGAAAGAAGGACATAGATACATAGTTGAGATGGGTATTTTAAACATGTTTGGTTTTCTTTTTTTTACATAGTATTCAAGAGAAAATATTCTGTACTGTTATGAATAAACAACACTACATATAAGGTGCTGGGGGGCTTTATTTGTACCCTGTTTGTCAGCTACCTCTGAGTGTCCCATTCTTTTTTATTTTTAAATTTTTTTTTTCAATTTTCCATCCAATTTTCTTGGCCAGTTCCCACTTGCTAACCAGGTTTCCCCTTATCACACTGTGCTACCAAGCTGGGAAGGTGAAGGCTAGCACATGCTTCCTGTGAGAGACGGAAAGCACTACCGCAACTTTTTGAACTGCCGCTCGTGCTGTGTCATTGGACAGCTCAACTCGCAGGAGAGGAGAATGCTGAAATGCCATTTCTTTTAAGCTACCTAATAGACACTCCTGTTGGCTAGCATTACACTTGGTACTGAGTAGAGAGGGAGGACTATCCTAGCCACCCAGAGAGAGCAAGGCCATGGACTCGGAATCTCCGGCCAATGGAGTGAATGCTTACATGGTTGTGCCACTCGGAACCCCTTCTGTTGGCAGTATTTTTCTATGGGGATTATATAAGCTGTGAGTATGCAATTGAACATCTTTGTCAGCAATGGGTGCATCTTAAGCTAATTGAAAGGAGTGTGTAGGTCCTTTTGGATGTATGGTATGTATAGATAATAAGTATAGATTGATAGATAAAGAGATAGAGAGCGAGTAAGGCCATCGTTTACCATCAAATATTACCAGCATATTAATATAAACCCTCTTTGATTGTTTTCCTTTGGCAACATTTGTCATGATTCAGAATTATCAAAACCAAGTGATGTGTAGTTAATAATGCAGCCATGCAAAACAGCTGAAAAAGGGAAGGCTTTGGCCCAGCATTCAGTTGTGATCCTGTGCATTAATAACCATTCAAGTCCACATTAATGTGTCATAAAGTTAAAGTTAATATGCCATAAAGTTAATGTTTAAGTTAACTGCAAAGCCCAACTACAGCTATAATATGTCTATAAGGAGCTCAGTCATGCATTCGAGAAGTGATGTAAAATGTTCGTTTAAAAGCTTTGCCAGACTCTGCACTGCTTTGCTTACGTATTACTTTGATTGGGGAGCAGATTCATTCTTCAAGATATTCAACCAAAAAGTAAAAAATCAAATTCTTCAAAAAAGAAAGCACCAACCTTCTCAAAAAAGAGACAAGAGCGCTTGGCTTATTGTTTTTCTGTTTGCTGTGCAAATGAAACTAGCAGCTTCTGGTGTTTGACATTATTCACATCCTTTTTCATGAGCTGATCGCTATCTCCTGCAGAGCCCCGGTGAACAACACACCTGTGGCTGTTCTGGCTGAGCGGGAAGAAGAGCCTCGCGAGCTTTCGATGTATTTATGCGGCGCTGCTATCAATACCAGCCTCCCACACGCGGCCGCTCTAACCAAAGCAAGCCCACACACACTCCCATTTGCCTGTGTGTAAATCCTGGAGCCTGTTTGCGTCCACCTGAGCGCCGCATGCAAATCCGCCTCCAGCTGCCGCTGCCCGGCCCCTAGCTCCTCAACCTACTCTTCTTCAACCTCATCGCAGACTGCGAGCCTAGCTGACGGCTCTCCAAAGCACTGCGTCAAACACTGCTCTCACGGTGCCATGGTGATGCGGATTGTTAAAGGAGTAGTTTGGCCAAAAAATAAATATTTTACCCTCTTACCCCCAAGGTATTTAGTCAGCCAAAACATGTTTGCTTCTTTGAGTTTGCACTTGAGCTCCAAGGCTAAGCCCTTAGATAGACTTATGAGATCTCTGACCTTTGTCCATTTTTGTAGATATTGTATCAATAACAGTGTCAGAAACCACATAAACAAGTCTATTTGAAATTACTTGAAGCCCCAGCGGACTTACGTGTGTTTTCTTGCTAATTAGGTGAGTCTTGGTCCTGTGACCACACATGTACAAAGGATGTCCTATGAATAGCTTTCATGGAAAGTTTGTGGAAATTAATGGAAATTCTCCACTCTCTATGTAAACTGGGCAGTCCTAATTTTGCCCTAAACAAATTACAAGGCTAAAGTGGTTTGTCCTGCCTTCACAGCGTTAACATAACGAAGCGTTCCCCGCAGCTTTTCTCTCCGCACATCAGAGATACTTAACGAGCAAAAGCTACTACTAAGTGAAAGTTAACAACAGAGGCATCTCAATCATGCATCCTCATTTGAATATTAGGACCACGCCCAGGCAGTTCTCAGCTATGTTTTTACAGGTGCATTAGTGAAGATTCAAGATACTCAACCTCTAATGGGTTTAGTAGGTGAACTACAGCAGCCATGGAATGATGTTTTTTATTCTTTGAATCCACCCCCTATTCCTATTCAACACAAAGCACCGCTGTAGAATTGACAGTGTCCATCGGAGTTTATTTAGAGTTTACTAACATTATAAATGCACTGTCATGACTTCACTGTCTAGCGATAAGCTTGGCTGTCTATTAAAGCTATTGCCTTTCTTCATAATTTAGATATAGATGATAGATGTATGGCATTACGCTAACGCTGCTTTAGAGGAGATACTAGACATAGCCTGCATCTCATTTGAATGCATTAGGGCAGTCTTTTCATAGTTTGAACAACAGTTTCACAAAATGTTTACGACAGAGAATAGCATGAGCTGATTTATCTCAGGGTGGTTGTGCTTGCTTTCAGGAACCTAGCTAAAAGATACAAGCATCAAGTGAGGGTAACAATACTGCTCTCGTCCCGGCAGAGTATTGATTTATTCTGCTTGGCAAATTATGATGACATACCATTACATTTCAGTTAATCAGGGAGATTTTTCATCTGATCATGCTATCCAAGTACTCTCCAAATACTGCTTTGCACTTAATTCCTTATGTAAAGTGAGCCAATCAACCATTTCAACGCTTTAAACATATTGCATTTATAAATCTGTCCATGAGGAATGTCACTGATCCTGCATCAACTTTAACCCCTTCACATGTGATACTTCCATTTTTGAAAAGTGCTTCCAGTATTAGTTCTTGTTGTAACATGTTCCTTGTTGTTTTTGGCAGCATGGCTCGTGTTTTTTTTCCTTCAGTACTAGAACCTGCAGGCGCAAGTTGCTTACCGGATTCACAATGTTTTCATAGCCGAGCAGACGGGGATGCGGACAGAGTAATGTGGTGTAGGGGAGGGTCTTACAAAATCACTGACAGGGGTCAGTGTAAACACAGATAAGCACTATGACCCATAGTGCAGTTTTCTAAACGGGGTTTCTTAGGCACATAATACACTTGTTCTGATGCCATTGTTTTAAAAACATTTAAAAATACTATATCCTTGGGATGTGGTTTGAGGTGAGAATGTGATGATTTAGGCATGCAATTTGCACAGGGCTTATAAGGGAAGGATGGTGTAAATTAGAATTTTTGATGAATTATTTCCTTAAAAGTACACTCCTGACCAAGTAAGAGGGCCACTGTGTGATTAGCTGTAGTTCTGAAGCATTCGGGTTTGATTGGAAGGGAAATTCACTGAAATTCACTGGAGCTTGAGAGGCAAGTACCGACAGGCCGGGCCGTAGACTTGACGTAAACAAGTGGTTTGGCGAAGCAGTGAGTGTGCCTTTAATGCTGGGAGATGGCCTGTGGTAGGATGTTGATGATGCTGCTCGTATCCGTTTCTTTGCAGTCAAGTAATGGTCATGTCCCTGAGGTTCCCTTTACAGGGAGAGAGAGAGAGGAAGAGAGAAGAGTGCTATTGATTTTTATTGTATTCATCGACTGGCTCCAATGATATTTACTCATTTACTCTGTGAGCTTGTACGTGTGTGCCTGCCTATGTGTGTGTATATGTGCTTGCATGCATATGTGTGTGTGTGTGTTCAAATCCTCCCTTTAAAGTGCTTAGTCATTGAGTCCCATCTTGTTCCATTTTCACAGAGAAGGACTACAACAGCCTTTGTGAGAGGCAGCCAATCGGGCGCATGCTCTTTCGGCAGTTCTGCGATACCAGGCCGGAGCTGAAGCGCTGTGTCAGATTTTTGGATGCCGTGGTAAGAGGCCAACTTCTTTTTATTTTTATGTATTTCTTGTTTGTTGATATATTGGACAACATAAACAATTTGCTTTTCCTGTCAGCATTCCCTAAAAAAACCTCAGAGGATCTGGTAGGATCTGGCAAGTTTGAGAGGCTTTGGTGTTGTTATGGTTTACCATAACAACACTGATCAGTAGATCAGAAAATGTAGGATGTTGGTTATGTTGGTTTTCTAAAGAATATATGAAATGCACACTTAGCTATTAAGTGGTCAGTTAAAAATAATGGTTCCCAGCCTGGAATAATTCCTGCGTATATTGGTGTACTGCTTCAACACCCTTGATTAAAAAATCAGCTAATTAACAAGCCCTTCCTGAGCTGAGGTTGGTGTTTTAAAACACGGTTGGTGCCAGTTGTATTCAAGCAGTGATTGTCAACCCTGCTCCTGGAGATCTACCTTCCTGCAGAGTGCAGTTCCAGCCACAATCTGCTACACCTGTTCCAGCTAATTAACTTTTCCCTTGTCCTGCATTGGCGGGATCAGGTGCATTAGTGTTAGGCGGGGGGGTGCATGTTACATACAGGGTGAATCTAAACTCTGCAAGAAAGTAGACCTCCAGGAGGAGGATTCATGACCACTGTCTGTCTGCTGTGTCTGTGTTGTACCATTGATTACCATGGACAGTAATGTTGACGTGTTTCCCTGTACTTGAAAAAGAATAGAAAACCTGTTCGTGTGAAACATACGAATAATAGAAGCATTTGGGCGCTTAGGCCCTGCATTATGTACATAAACAAGATACATGATTTTGTAATGCAAATTTTAAACTACAACAGTCTGAGTCTTCAGATGACAGAGACATGAGAGAATGTCTTGCCAAAACTGTTCTTATGAAGTTCTATCCGACTTAATAACACTGGAGCAGCACCATAAAAAGTAGTTCCAGCTACTTTCATTTTTTCAGAAGTCTTCTGCTATCTGTGCATGATCAGGCAGGAGCCTGTGAAAACTCCACCCACAACACTACACTGGAAGTGTATTACCACAAAGTCTTCTCTCTGAAAAACTAATTTGACCTCTGAAAGAGCAAATTCTGCACATTTTCAGATTAATACAAAGGCTTTTGACTGAAGAAAATCTAAAAAATAAATATTTTTTTTGTACAAAAATATGTATTTTCTCATAAATTCACAGAATATAGTAACTGTTTAATGGCCTCTACTATTATTAGAGTCATTGAGTTTTCTGTCCTTTTCACAGAAGCATGCTGAAATTATTGTCTGTTGTAATTGACCCTATGCTACAGATGAGGCATGTAGAAATTGGGTTGAAAAAAAATAATCCTTTAAAATAAGAATGCCTATTCCATTTCCAGTGCCTCACTTTGGGAATAAGAGAATGCAGGGAAGGCACTGAGATGCAGTAACCTTGGCTGTTAACAGCCAGAGAGGTTGCAATCTACGTCAGCGCCCCCCTCAGCCCCCCTCCTCTTCTCTGAGTACTGGGGTGACCCGAGCAGCACTTTGTGGAGGCTTGTTGAGGTCACACTTGTGGCAGTGACTCCATTTAGTCTCTGTAGAGAAGAGAGCTACTGACTACAGTGTAGTAGAGCTGCTCCTGCTATTGGCTAAACCTGGGCCTATCTCATTCCTTTAGCACTAATGTATTTAAAAAGAGCCATACCCACTAGAATGTTACAAGTCACCTAGTTGCGCCACCAACCACAGCTTTAAGATTGGTTTGTAGAGAATTAGATTATTAACTACTAGTAGTTTTACTTCTACCATTACTAGCTTTATAGGAGACTTTAGCCCCACTGACCCCACAGACCCCATTGGTACAGACTTTTGCTCACTCCTCACTTAATATCTTAATAATAACTCAATAATGTTGTATTATTTTCCATGTAGTTACTGAATAACAAGCCTTATGATGTGGAAGACCATGAACACAAAAAACTGAAAAATATTGCTGTCATTTTATAAATTTCCAATGTTTTACTGCTTTTTTAAAGCAATTTTATATAGGTAAATCATTGTATATCACTGTACATCATATATATGCCTAAACAGTACAGTGCAAAGGTCAGAGACCACCCTTCATGTGTGTAATTTCCTGTCAAAATGGCAAATAAGTACAAGCATGTTCATTTTCCAGGAGATATGTCTGAGGAGATTAGACGTAAGATAATCCACGTACATAAAGAAAGGGAAAGTCAAAAGACCATAAGTGAAAACACAGGACTTTCCAGACTGTCCAAAACTGAAGGTCCAAAAAGTTTACAAGATATACAGAAAATGGGACTCCTGTCAACCGAGCAAGGCCTGATAGACCACCAAAACAGTCCCCATCAGATAAACAGCACTTAAAGCTTTCATCTTTGAGAGAGAGGAAAAAATAGAGCTCCACTCTTGCTTCAGATCTAAAAAAATCCACAGTTGTTTCTTTTCATCCTTTCACTGTGACAAGATAGCCAACACTATGGGTCTCACTAGTTGTGTAGATGTCAAGAAGCTGGGAGAAGGAAATAGACAAGAAAGAAGAAACAGAACAATGGACTCAGAACAGTGTACTGACCACCCCAGCATCCAAACCTCAACATCACTGAATGGAATTACTTGAATTGTGAGATGCAGAAAATGCAACCAGCTTCTAAAATTAAACTTTGGATGTGTGGAAAAATGTCCCTGCTCATCTCTTGGAAAAACTGAAATGAAATCTCCCAAAAAGAATGAAAGTTGTAATAAAGGCTAAGAGAACACAGTAAATACTGAAAAATATGAATTTATTTAGTTGTTGAGGCTTTTATGTAGTTTTCTGTTAAAGAAAAGTGAATAACTTGTACTTAAAGAGTGTTTTGACTGAAAATTAAATAAATGAAGGGTAGTACTGTAAGCATGTAAATATATTGGTGTCATGCTACCACTGACATACTGCCTTTGCATCATAAAAAGTGCTCAAGTTGAGGCCTTCTGGTTATGTCACTCCTTGAAAAACTGATTCACATGCTCTACCCATAACAGTCAAAGCCAGTCTTGGCTGTGTTTTCATCTTGGTCCAAATTCAGATATCTAGAGAGAGCTGTTACTTGCTCTGCCCTTACAGGCCACAGTACTGAGACCTCCGTGTAAATATCGTCTTTCGCTTGCACACTTCCACCCACGCGTGAACCATCGTTGCTGTTTGCTCCTCTCCAAAGGCCAAGTAGCGGCATATTTAGCCAAAGCGCGATAGCAGCAGCTCTGACTGCATTAATAAACATGTTATGAACAGTGAACAGTGTCTTGGCCTCAAATCGAGGGGCTTTCCTCACCCGCATTCAAACAGATTACCCATTGACAAAAGCCAGGCACGTATTACTCCAACAACGAGGCTCTTCAATATAATCACCCTTCTCAGTATGCTGTAGGGTTGACTTGATTTTATCTAGACAGTGCTTATATCGGAGCCTGCATCACAGACAAATCCCGCAGATCAGGAACAGCTGACTATGTTTGCTAGTGCTTTTGTCTGCTCTACATCCTTTGTCATGGTCAGACACGTTGAAGTTGCTTATTTGTCACATGTGTGAGTGACTGGGGACTAGGAAAGCAGCTGACTGGAGCTGAGCAAGGTATGAGTGTAGTTTAGATATGTGTCACTCTCCTTTAGTTAGGTTCCAAAAGAAGCCAGTCATTTTTTACCTGTTTTAAACCTTTGATATCTACAGTTAATGCAGTATTTTTGCTATACTGTTTAAAGCTGTACTTTGTAAGATTTTTTAGTTAAAATTAAAAGTAGCATTACTGAGTCAAAAGAAGAAATGCACGCTAAAAAGTGGTTTGTGTGCGCTGCTGTGAGTCTCCCTGTAAAAACTGAAATAATCATTTAAAAGTCAGAGGTGTCGGGATTTTGTGGGAGTTTTTGGACCACGTTGTAGTTCTTCACGTATTAATGCTACACACACAGGCTCTAAAAGAAGGTCCGGTTCAAGGTTTATGCAAAAGCAACATTATACTGATGAAGATATGATGACAATTATAGATCATTCACTTACGTCTTCAGAAGACGCGTCCTTCACTAAGTTTTGGCTGAGTTCTCTTTAAATACTCATATTGATTTGCTCGGGGAAAGGGTCTTAAGTGCAGCCAATGTTACAAAATGCAATGAATTACATTTACATTTGATTTACATTCTGTTTCGGCAGGTCTGAATAGCACTCCTGACTTTTTAGAAGTGACAAAAATGTGGCAAAAATCTAAAGGATGTTTTTCTTGCGCAAAACAACAACTTCCATCAAGTTCAAATAATGATAAAATATCTCCTTTTATGCTTACAAACACGAAACGTATCAGTTCACAGTGTAGACGGTTTAAGCCCTTCTTGTGCTGGTTCAGGTGTGTAGTAGAGTGTGAGAGAAAGCACAAAAATGTGCTGAGCGTGTGCTGAGGTCCCCAGGACTAGAATTGGGTTAACCCTATCAAACCACGCGTCTTGCTAGAGATCCATTTTGAGAATTTGGTGATGGCCCCTTTAACTCATTTAAATCTGCTGCCAGAGTGCACGTCCATGTTGACCAGAGTGAAATGTCTCAGCGTTTCTGTGTGCTGCCGTGTTTTTTATCACTGTAAAAAAGATGGTTGAGGCTTCCTTTATCGTTGGAAGTGCTGATATTTTTCCAAGCATACAAGCTCATTCTGATCGCAGTTCAGATTTGTAAGAGCTCATTATCAATTTGTTCAATCAGAGTAACGAAAAATGCAGCTGACTTACATTCCTGTTCATGTATTCTCAAAAATGTAGTTTGACTAAATAAAAATCTGGATTTTCAGCTAGATCACATTCTTTACATATTCAGTGAAGACAACAACAGCACTGTGAAATTGTAATTAATGGAGAAGAGTAGATTGATTGGCAAGAATAGTCACTTTTTGGCCGTAAAGAGTTAAAGCCTGACGGAGCTTTTGATGTCCTTCATAATTGTGTTCAGCTAATTGAGGAATTACTTCTGGCACATGTCCATATTTGAACACAGACAGAGAAGACTTTGGAGGGGTTTTGTAAATTGAGACATCATCTTCTTATTACATAATGAATGTATGCGTGTATGTGTGTGTGGGATTGACCATTGTAGGCTGAGTATGAAGTAACCCCGGATGAGAAGAGGAAGGAATGTGGACAGGAAGTCCTCGACAAGTATCTTAATCCAAAGGTAACGGGTCTCATGAATACGGCTTAGATAAATATCAGTTCATTTAATGGGTAATTCCACAGATTTGCTATGGAATTTCAGCTTAATTAAAGCATTAAGGAGTAAACAAAGACATTCAGAGTGGTTTGATGTGAAATGCTCCATTGTAGAGAAAGAGTTAGAAATGTTCACAGTGGTGGTGTTAGGAACCAGACGTCTGAAGAGTTTAATGCCTCTAAAAGCTCCTTCACAGAAAGTTATTACATGATGTTTTTAGAACTACGATTCCTGATGCCAGGTTTGCAGTAGTTTTGAGGGACAAATTTTGGCCTAAAACATTTTTAAATACATTCAGAGCAGAGAGATACAGGGTGAAGGACGTTCTAAGGCAAAATAATCACTAAAGCTATCTTACAGTTTCAGATGAACCACTATTTTACCAGCATCAACATTACATAACAGAACATATTATAAACACCTTCTCAGAAGACGCATGCAGGTTTTACTTTTATGAATCAATTCACTTCAAACCACTCTTAATGACTGTTTACATCTCAAAAGTACTTTGCTTTTAGACAATCTGTAATCTTTTTGTACTCGTATCTGTGTATTTATGTGTCTTTCTGTCTGCAGTCAGAGGACCATGTCCCTGAAGTGGCAGAGGAGATGATTTCTAAATGTGCAGAACGCTTGGAACAGGAGGCCTGTAAAGAACTCTTCATGGAGTGTACCAAGTGAGTCCCAGTTTCAAGCTGTAAAAAAAAACACCATATGTCCAAAAGTATCCAGATATCGATACTGAGTTTTCTGGAGTGATGAAACTCCGTCCAGTACCTTTGGGATGAGCTGGAGTGCCGTTTGTGATCCAGAACTAATCATCCAACATCAGCATCTGAACTCACTAATGCTCTTGTGGCTGGATACAATTAAATCCTCAACGCAGTGTTCCAACACCTAGTGGAAAGCTTTCCTAGAAGAGCATGGGCTTTTGAACATATGTTGTAGCTATATTTTGCAGTCAATCCGATATCAGAATTGACATTTTCACCTTGATAGCTGATGTACGTAAGTATGATTCATCACACTATTTTCTAAATTCTTGATTTCTCATATTTTTCCACCAAAACGTAGGAACTTTTGTCCACGTCTAAAACGTCTGCTGATTTTTGCCCATGTCACCATACACCAGTGGGTGGGGAAAAATAATATTAACCGATGATACACCTCTGCCTCCCACCACGTCCACCTATTGCTGAGAGAAATGCTCAGCTAGCTCAGAGACCCTCCTTAATACTGTGATTCACTTGGAAATATATCACTGTACAGAAGTAAAATGTGCTGTGATTTCCGTTGACGTACTGATATCTGTAGTACTTCTTTTAGCACATTCACATCCTTTTGGTTTCAGTGTAACCATGGGAGAGTACCTGGCTCTATAATGTTACATAAGTTGTCGGGAATGACTGTCTTGGCCTACGTTCCATTCCCCCATTCACTGAACATTATACAGATCTCACAAACATTTGTGCATCCATACAATCATTCATACAACCAATAAGTCAGGAAAAATTCTTGCAAACAATAATGAGAGCAATGGAAATAATAGATCCTGTGCTCTGCTCTAATTACCATTTTCAAGGAATGTGAAGCAAATCAAATCTGTCTGTTAGAGTCCTTTGGTCTGAGGCCTGTAGTGCAGAGTAGATGAAGAAGAGCCAAACAAATGGTACACTGCCCTCCGCAGTACCATTATAGATATAAACTACAGTTGTTAAGAGCTGTGCTCAGTAGCATCCCCACTGGCAGTATGTCCACTGACAAAACGGAAGAGTTAAGGTGGTCAGGCCTTTTAACTGTATTGGTTTTCCATTAGCATTTTAGCCTTCGTATAACTAGCTGAAATATTTAACATTGCTTCAGAAAATATGGGTAACAGTGTATTCTATTCTTCTTTTCCAGACTGATCCATGACTACCTGAGCGTGGCCCCCTTCGCAGACTACCTCGACAGCATGTTCTTCAACCGCTTCCTACAATGGAAATGGCTCGAAAGGTAGCACAGTAGGCCGTCTCCATAAGCCCACTGGACCAATATGTGCATTTTCATGTGGCTGAATCTCATGCCCTTAAATTATCTAATGCCTTACTCCACAGCACAGTGGCACCAGCCATCAGCCACAGAGGAACACATGACTTCTTGAATCACAGCCAAGTTCTCTGACCACTGAGATAGTAAATTGTTTATGCAGTTTAAACTTGATTCTTGTCAGTGGTCATGGTTTGCTATTTTCAGTTTAAAAAAAATAATAATAGTTTTGTCTCATGAGTATTTTGTACTATGGAAGTGATGCCGCTAGAAAGTTCTTTAACATCCCTGAGAATTCCTAATTATTCCTTTGAGTGCCGCAATTTATTTACGAAGCCAAGCTTATGCAAACCAGATGTGAACTTTGGCCCCCACTGTTTATTTGCATTTGTTCACAAAAATGTCTTCAACCTGAAAGTGGAAAAGCAAGACTGGACAAATTCCATCCAAAAATGATTCAGACAGAACAAAAATTATATGCTGCAATATTTTTTTTTCACCATTATGTTCCCACAAGTCCCACTAGACCACTCTGGTCCAGACTACTGCAGTGTCAGAAAGGCATAGTAAGCTATAGGGATCTATATATTTTGAAGTGATATTCCAGAAAACCTATGTGTGGCCTAAGATCCTGTTTTAATATTAAAATGACATTCACAATGTACCCATATTCCATTTAAAAAGTATGTGTGTAGCCTTTTGAACTATTAAGTATAGCTGCTCTTGTCTCTCTCTTCAACAGACAACCAATTACAAAAAACACATTCCGTCAGTACAGGGTATTGGGGAAGGGCGGGTTTGGTGAGGTGAGTTTCAGTCATCTTACGTCTTGAACATTCACTCTCTACATTGATGCTAAGATAAATAAGCTAACTATGTAATTGTGATATAAAACTAGCTTCATTAAACATTTTTCTTTTAATACTGGAAGCCATGAGATACCAGAAAGTGCTGCATATTAGCATTTCTGCTAACTGCACTGTAAGCTACAGTTTAGAGTGTAGTGATTTTGAATTGTGTAATAGCTTTATACAGTCATGGCAAAAGTTTAAACACCCTTGGTCAAATGACACGTTTTGTTAATTTTCTAAGTGAGAGTTAAGTGAACACACCCTCTGCTAGGAAATAACTTAAATATGAAATTTTTTCTGCACATTTTAGTGCACAATTACTAGTTATTTACAGAGTTTAACATATTGGGAAAAGCATAAAACATTCACTTTTCGACAGGGCACATTTTGTGTTTTATTATTTTTAATGTTTAATTTATAATAATGTTTAACTTAGTAAGTAAACAGTAATAAATCTCTCTCTCTCTCTAGATCTGTTGTTGTAGCTGTAGATTACAACTAAGAGCTAGTTAGCCAAATTATTATCACTTGTCCACAGGGCACATTTTGTGTTTTATCATTTTTAATGTTTGATTTATAATAATGTTTAATTTAGTAAGTAAACAGTAATAAAAATCTGCATTGCTAAAGTTTGTGTCTTGATTATCTAAAGTGTGTTATGCGTTTGAAGCAGTGTCCCAAACAAAGTATTAAGCCAACTTTATTGTAGTTGGATATTTGGAAACTAAACTTGCAAACCTGACCACAAAACCATCTCATTAAAAACATGTAATTTAACACAAGCCTACTTAACACAAGTGTACTTAAATAATTTAGGTTGAGTTTACACTAAACGTTAGAAACACAAAGGTTGGAAAACCCTGTAGAAGATGGCGTTAACTTTTTACTTTACACATCAACAAACGTTTGCATATGACTGTATGATACAGCTCCTTAAGTCTAAGTTTGTCCTTTTTACTCCCTGAATATTTTTTAGGGTAAGGTAAATCCCTCTACAATAGGCCTAATCTGTTACACTCCTATTGAACCACATGCAAAAACTACACTCAGATATTTCTTTGTATAGTCTAGCTAAATGTTGTCGCCTTTGTTGGTGCACTTGTACTCTTGTTTTGCGCTTTATGTTGAGAGCTTAGAAGGACTTTAATGTGCACAAAAGAGTGTTTGTGGAGAAAGTTTCCTAAGAATGGGTTCTTCATCCAGTTCCTTCTGTGCCTAAGGTCTGCGCATGCCAGGTGCGTGCCACAGGGAAGATGTATGCCTGCAAGAAGCTGGAGAAGAAAAGGATCAAAAAGAGAAAAGGCGAGTCCATGGCCCTGAATGAGAAGCAAATTCTAGAAAAGGTCAACAGTCGGTTCGTAGTAAGTATTTAGGGCTTTTTTTGTCTGACCCTAAATACACTGGTTGTTCTCACAAAGTCTCCAGTTTGGGAGATTTGTTATCTTTTGCATCTCTGTGGCTACGTCATGACTTCTTGTAAAGAAAGCGCACAGACAAGCTCATTATGCCTCTGAACTACTGAGGGAAAGCAAAAATGTCCTCGCTTTATTACTGTGGTCTGGCGAATCCCAAGAGATCATAGCTTATAATGTCATGTTATGATTTAGGACTTTTGATGTCCTTGAAAAATCTTATAAAAAAGTGAACGTTGTAAAAGTTCAGAACCCTAATTGAAGAACAAGAAAGCATTGTTATATATATTGATTTATTCTTTTGCTTTGAGAAGTTTAGTTATTTTATGGATATGGATAGCTTTTCAGCCAACCAATGCATTTTAAAGGATATACTGATTATAGCTTTGAATTTCATGTTTACATTGAAAACTGGAGCCAGACCCAAAAATAGACATATCTGTTGTAAATGAAAGAAAACATATCTAATTTAAAGGGGCAAAGAGCTCTCAGAGCATCAGGTTGTAAAGCTTCATATAGAAAGCTATGGCCAGTAATGAAATGAAAACATGGAATTTTGCGGGTTGTGTATATGATTGCAGGCTGACCCAACGCAGGCTATTTTGGGGGTTGTTTTGTTTGGCTGTTGTTCAGTTTTTTCAGGCTTCTTTAGACTTGAGATACATTTTCCCACACATTCATCAAATATATAAACCTTAACTACATTGCAGTGAGGCCTCCATGACAGTAGCCACTTTTTTTTGCTTGTTTTTTTCTTGAGGTAAGTCTCGCGTACGCCTACGAGACCAAAGATGCCCTGTGCTTGGTGCTCACACTGATGAACGGGGGAGACCTGAAGTTTCATATCTACCACATGGGGGAGGCTGGCTTTGAGGAGAAGAGAGCAGTCTTCTACGCTGCTGAGATCTGCTGTGGCCTGGAAGATCTCCACAGAGAGAGAATAGTCTACAGGTCAGCCGTGTGCTTCCGGCACTTGGCTTGTACAAATAAAGCTCAAATGGCTTATTCGATAAGGAGCTGCAGTTTGACCTGTGTCTTTTTGCTTTCTTTCTCATCAGGGATTTGAAGCCGGAGAACATATTATTGGATGACCATGGTGAGTAGTCAAAGGAGCTGTATGTTTTGAATGGTTGAGGTCTTCTATATGCCCTACAAGAGCATTTCCGGATCAGACAGTGTCTGAAGTCTGCTTCCTTAGGCTGGCTTTACACTGTGAAACTTTTAGCAACTAGTTGCATGCTGTGAGTTGCCTGCAACATCATTTCTGGGCAGTTTGACAGTTATACGAAGCAATTCAAAAACAAAGCTACACGCAACAAGCTCAACTACTCCACTAGTTAACCAGCTTGTATTTTTGATATGCCGCATCATTCTTGCTACAAAGTCATCTGTGAGATTTTACTTACAAATTTGCAGCATTTTATCATCTTTGTTTTTTCAGTTGTTATTGGGTATATATATTGAGACACTTGCAGCTGTTGTGTCTGAGTTTAAAGTGAGTTGCAGGACACTTCACATATGTATAACTGAAATTCAGTTTTATGTAGGTTTAAAGCAACTACAGTTGCGTGAATGTTTCACCGTGTAAAGCCTTAGTTTTGCAATTGAACAACAAATGGAAACTTACACGTTTCAGACAGATTTGCTTATTTGGCTTCTGGCACTGTATCACACTGATAACTGTTGTCTATTAAAATAAAAACAGGCACAATTCAGGCTCAAGATGTCTGGTACAACTTATTTTAAGGTATGTACTTTTGTCCGTTTTAGACAACAGTATGTTATACAGTGTCAGAAACCACATAAAAAAGTCTAATGGAAATAGAATTAGATGGAGTTTGAGGCAGTGATTTAGGTGTGCAGTTTGCAACTAGAAGCTTTTCTAACTTGTTAGCTGTACAAATGTGAAACTCCACTCACATTAGTGTGAAACTTGTAAAACCTAACATACTAAGACCAATGCCATCCTGTTATGCACATTACACTACGTACACATTACAGTACGTCAAGTCATTTTTTTAAATGAGACACCTGGATCTTAAAGAACTTCTTTATACAAAGACAGAATCTACATAATGTATGATGGTGCTAATACATTTAATGCTTTAAAAAACCAGTAGTAATACTTTAAAATCTATTCCTTCATTCTCCACTAGAGGGAGTAGAGTACACCACATTTTCAATCCTTGATTTTCCCAAACTCCATAAAGCGCTTTGTAGTCGTACACTGCTGACCAATAGCAGGCCAAAAGTATCACGCCTATCCTTGGCTATCATTGTGGCTGCAAAGTCCTCTCGGGGACATCGGTGAAGTTTTGTTTTTAACACTTGCTCTTCCATTTCGCTTCAGTGAGCAGCAAGTCAAGCAGGGACGCTGCTAAAAAGATGCACAGCTGCTGAAAACAGGTCCATAATGACCTCTCTGGAGGAGACCTATGAATGATGCCTATGAAAATGATTCTCCAGATAATATTGCACATAGCGATTATGTCATGGGTTTATACACATTTATTTATAAATAACGATCACATTTAAATTGGGGTTGGACAATCTAAGTGTTGTGACGAGAAGTTTGCTGTAGCATCTGTAATTACATTTAACAAGCATAATGTAAAACATTAGATGAAATTAAACAGTGGAAAAAGTAATGCACTGATTTTACTTGATTCAAATGTATATTGTCATTACATTCTTTTCAAATGTATAAATATTCAATACAATTTTGTCTCTCAGTTTACTCACTTTTGCAAATAACTGTGCTGGTGTAATATATTTTATTAATGTAGAAATTATGTGCACATTTAAATCAAATACAGTCCGTGCTTTGCTTTTTTTCAGTGTAGCCTAATACTCTCATTACTTGTGCCATAGTATTTATTACCACGTTCATCGATATGAGTGCACAGAGCACTGCTATGAAAAGAATGAGTTGAAGGAGAAAGGCAATATGGAAGATTTCATCCAATGGAACTAACAACAAACAGCAGAGTTTGTTGCATCTGAGACATAGAGGATCAAGTAAGCAATTAAAGTCAGAGTTTCTCTTTCTCTTCAGGTCACATTCGCATATCAGACTTGGGCCTGGCTGTGCATGTACCAGATGGCCAAACAATCAAAGGCCGTGTGGGCACTGTGGGCTATATGGGTAAGATTCTTGACTCTTTGAATAATGTTGAACTGACAATGTATGAATTTATTTTCAAATAATTACCCTCCAACAAATAGTATTTGACAGCCAACTAGGACTCAGCTTACAGTACTGTTCAGCAAAAGTCAGAGACCCCTCTCATTTATTGAATCGCCAGTCAAAACAGCCATTACAGTTAAGAGATTTTATGTGAGATATTCCACTTGCATAAGGAAATGGCAAGGTCAAAGGAAAAGAAGTGAAAAAAGTATTTGCAAAACTGTGCAAAACTGTCCCTGTCAGTGTGTAAGGCCTTTACCTTTGAGAGATGGGAGAAAATCAAGCTCCACTCTCGCTTCAGATCTGAAAAATCCACAGGTGTTTCTGTTCATCATTCCACTGTGAGAAGACAACTCAGTACTAGTGTCGTGGCCGAATCAACTTCAGCAAAACTTCTTTAAACAGTGGTTCCTTTGCCTGGTCCTGGGGATTGTGTTCTATCTATTTTTAAGTGTTCCTCACTCTTACACAGCTGACAACTGTTTGATAACTAGCTGATAAGCTGAATCAGGTGTGTTAGAGTAGAGCTGAGGTTCCAAACTGTCAGGCAGTGGACCATCACTGGGCCGTGGGTTGTTTTGTAGCAGGTCGTGGCAGTGAGCAGAGGAGAGTTAGTAGCCTAACTGCTGAACTCCACTATTTTATTATTACTTTTAATGTAATCAGTATTATAGTACTGTTGTTTTATTTAAGACGTCATTCTTGCTATTAAAATGTTGATAAATCATTTTTTAATATAAATATGTAGGTTTACATCACATCAGTGGAGACCATTGTCCTAGGAACAGAAACTGGCTTTAAGTATGGTATAACAGCTAATAAAGGATCAAAACTAATATTCATTTGAACTGTGTGTGTCCGTTCCAGCCCCAGAGGTGGTGAAAAATGAACGGTACACCTTCAGTCCAGACTGGTGGGCGCTGGGCTGTCTGCTATATGAGATGATCGAGGGCCAGTCTCCTTTCCAGCAGCGCAAGAAAAAAATCAAGCGAGAGGAAGTGGAACGGCTTGTCAAAGACGTGGAGGAAGAGTATTCCAGCAAGTTCTCCGAAGATGCCAAGTCCCTTTGTAAAATGGTCAGCATGTCCACCACGTTGTTCTTTTTGGCAACTTATACATATCTCTCTCAATATGCACGTAGCCAACCAGTCATGCCTATTTCACACTTTTCCCTTGATTTATTTTAGTCAGAAGTATCAGAAACACTCTGCAACAGAAAAGGAAGCTAGCGTAAGAACTCCTTATGCATCCCTGATCACCAACTCCCTATTTTAAGAAAGAAATCATGAAGCACTTCAAGCGTGTTTAGCGTGTGATTGCCAGGCCCTCATGCTGGCACGTTGCTGATTATTGTGACCTCAAAATATCAGGACTGGCAGCTAATCAGCTAGCTAGGGGTACTTTTATTCAAATCATGACTGAGACAGACTACACTTTCTAGAAAACCATCTCAAGCAGAGTGGGGCATGCAGTACACACAGCTATTCATGCTAATGAGTATTTTGATTCATAATGGTATTAATCAGAATGAACTGTGTTTTGTTTATCCCTTGAGGAAAGTGTGTTTATAACGACATATTCCTGCTGATTTTTGACCCTACAGCTGCTGGCCAAAGACCCCAATGAGAGACTTGGCTGTCAGGGAGGAGCCTCGGAGGTAAAGGCTCACGCCCTCTTTCGCTCCATCAATTTTAAGCGGCTAGAGGCTGGCATGCTGGAAGCCCCTTTCATTCCTGATGTAAGTCACGCCTGGAAATTCCAGCCTTTTAATGTGTCTAATTGTGTTTCGAAATTCATGCCGATCAACATGGAGGTTTAAAAATGTTAGAAGGTGTTAAACACAACTTGAAACATGATTTGCTAATGATTTGTGAAAAATAAGCATTTCAAAATAATAAACCTGCTGTGTAACAGTTGTGTTTGTCGACTGGCTACGGTCTGTATGATGTATGGGTGCTTTTTTGTCTGCAGCCTCAGGCCATTTACTGTAAGGACGTTCTGGACATCGAGCAGTTCTCCACCGTGAAGGGGGTAGAGCTGGAACCCAAAGACGACTCCTTCTACAGCAAAGTGTCCACAGGCAGTGTGACTATCCCCTGGCAAAATGAGGTCAGTACTGTAATCCGCTGTTCACTCGCTATAAAGTTTGATCAAATGCAGTTTCTGGAAAAAGCTGTAAAATTTCACATAAAGCCACAGGACCAAACTGCCCTATTAGTGAAGAGTTTCAAATGGAAACTCTTAAGACAGGGCGTGTTCATTTATGACAAGCTTTAAGTTTAGCTACCTAGCTAGCTAACGCTACCTTAGCTAACTCTTTATTCTAAAAACTGCAGTTGATGTATTAATATACCATTTTGTTTTACATTCTGGTGCACTCAGGGATCATGTAATAGTGCTTTGTGACTTTATAATTGCCTGAAAAATAAATACTTACCTAAATTGTTTTTCTGTAAGTTTGTTGACTGCAGTAGCAAGTGTTGGCAAAGATAGAAGAAAACCTCCAACTCAAGACATACATAGCTTGAGCTCACAAAAAACAAATGATTCTCTGTGGTACGATCACAGCCGTAAATAACTATGAGGACATCGTGGTTTGTTTCAGAAGGGTTTTTTCACTTTTCTCCATTCTTGAAACTGAATGTGAAAACCGTGCTAATCTGATAATGCGGTAGCCCACTCTGGGACGCAGCCACGGGTACCACAGGCCTATCTAATCAAATTAAGATATTTATGAATTCATGAATATTTATTATGCAATGAAATTTGATTTATTTGATTTGAGTGCTCTCATTGTATTATGGCAAATCAAAAGCTACCAAGCTCCACCTTATGTTCTCAGCCCTCCAATCACTACTTAGCAACTATCTCCCATTGCATCAAGCCTTCAGTTTGTTATCAGCATCCATCAGCATCAGGACATCAAGGTCCTTCAAAGTGTTTTAGAAGAATCAGTGTGGAAAAAGTACAAATAATGATTAAAATGTTGATGGTATAGAATCATGTAGCACAATTAGGAAATCATATATATACATCTGGCTGTATTATGTCTTATTAACTGTAGGATTAGCCTACCTTTTCCTCTTAGCTGGGGTTTGGTAGAGCCTTTTGTAATGTATATTTAAAGTATGCTTTTTCAGTGATCAGGGAGGACTGAGATGAAAAACAGACAAACAGAAAGAGAAAGAGAGAGAGAAAGAAAGGGAGAGAGAGAGAACAGACTCTTCTTTAACTCTAAATAAGAGTATTTAAATCATAATTTCATAAGTCCCAAGTATTTATCGTGGAACAGGCTGTAACACTAAGTAATAAGATTTAATGCCCAGCAGTTTGCACCTAATTTCTACTATAATACACAGGCGTTTACACCAAATGATGTGTAGAAAAACAAAGAGAGTCTTTTTGATTGCTTGACCGAAGAAAACCCCGCTATGATGGGGCCACCCACCTAGTGTGTAGTACTTTCGTTTGCTTGGAGTGGTAGGACAGATGTTGGGGGAAGCTGTAAAGATAACAGTAGGCTGTAAAATAAAAGTAAAAGCCCATTTTCATCAAGGAAGAAGTTAAGTCAACTTTGACAAACTGCCAACGGAGATAAAAACTTTAACCTAACAATCACTGGGTTATTATTTTGTATATGAAAAAAGCACATACAATCTTAATCACTTTTTTATCATTTCAGATAAAACTCTCAGCTTGTACCCTCTTTAAGTTTATAATGATGATTTTCCATTGCTTGGTATCCAAGAGAGTTAAGGAAGGCCTTAATCATAATGTATCATAATAAATGTACCAAAAGCCCTGTGTTTGATTCCCCTCAGATGATTGAGACAGAGTGTTTTAAGGAACTCAACGTGCTGAACCTGGATGGCACTCTACCCCCAGACCTGGACTGGAGAGGCCAGCCCTCACCGCCACCCAAACAGGGCCTGCTGCAGAGACTCTTTGGGAGACAGGTTTGTACTGTACATGCTACCTTCTGTAAGGTCTGTGACAAAATGAAATTTTTAAAGCATGATAGTCATATGAAAAAACATCTGAATTATTAATATGGGACAAGAAAGCACATAATCAGAAGTATGATCAGGACATTTAGCAAATATAGTATGTGTATTTTTCTAACACATACAAATGGTTAAATACATAATATGTTCACAAAGCATCTAATGAGTTCAGTGAATTCAGTAAAGGAGGAATTCTGTATATTTTCATCTAAATATGAATGTCTGGGCTGTTAACCGAATTTTTCTTTCATATGAATTTGTGTACATATTTTGAAAAACCCAAAATACCTACAATTGCTAAATGAAATGATCAGGTACTTCCAGGCAAATGGTTCCCCTTAAGCAAAATGTGTTTGTTTTTTGTTTGATTGTTTGTTTTTTGGTCAAGAAAAAATGAAGATCAAATGTAATATTCAAATTTATTGTATATTGATGGAGGAACACTATTTGTACCCTAAGGCCCCGTTTTTAGCCCCCTTTCCAGCTACTGGCATGGAAGCACAGATCTCCTGTGATCTCTAGTTTCATATAGCTAATAGGTTTCTTCTTGATATCTTACAGTCATTGTATTGGTAGAGCCCACCCCAGTGTAGGCAGAGGATTAGCTTCCATCAGATTCTAGCTTTTAGCACTGAGCTCTTTGAACACGGCCTTTTGAAAAACAGCTTTAGTGTTACTGCAGTTTAATGAAGTAGCGTGCAGTACAACTGTAGCTGAGTGTAGCATGACTACAGGTCAGTAGAATACAACTGTAGTTGAATGCAGTACACATTACAATTTAATGCAGTACTGACAAAACAAACTAATGATGTGATTTTATGCATTCAAGAATACGTTTATAACTTTGCTTGTTTTTTATATAACAAGGTACTGGTGGGATGTGGTGGTTATACAGAGAGAGAGAGGGCAAGTTTTTTTGCAAAAAAAAAAAACAAAAACAGTAAAATAATAGACTGAAGCTATACACATTTTAAGAGGTCGGAAACATTAACTGTAGCTAGCAGAGACTGTTCTAAATGGATACATTTGAATCCTCAGAGGGTGGAGACAGCCTTACCATCACAAGTGAAACTGCCAAATGTTAAAGGCAAAGCTGTCAGGAGGCTTTTCAGAGACTCAGAGAGCAGATTTTGTCATTTAAAAATGACAAAGAAAAAGAGCCGCTCTTCTTCATAGAACATCCAAATGCCTGGCATAGGCTGCAGCCATCTGCTTAGCTAGTAAAAAGTGTAAAAGGCTGGTAACGAAGATAAGAGACAGCTGTACCTGTACAAAACACCACCAAACATTGTACCCCTATGTGTAGCAATATATTTTGAATAACTGACAGTTTTTATTTATGTATTATTTTTATGTCCAAGAAAGTACTTAAAAAGACATAATATCAATTCCTCCCGTTATCCTTGTTATGCTATGTGATACTAAATGTTCGAACAGATTTAACAAATGAGATGAAGCAGAGCAAGATTTACCAGATAACAAACTGTTTTTTTAATCCCTTAACAAATGTTAATTAAGTCCTCAATCTAATAACAATGATTGCTAAATGTTAAACAGTGCTAACTAGGACAGTCGTGTAGAGCAGGTTGTACAAGCGCTAGCTTAGCTACAAGGTTAACAGCTCAATACACCACAGGAAAGATTTGACTGTTTTGCTGTCACTCCAGCAGCAGTCAGTTGACTTTGTTCACTCAGATTTGTCCTCTAAACTTGTGTCAGTAGAGTATTAGTTAGATAGAAATTAACCTGCCTTGCAGTTTATGAAGTTGTTAGGCTGCTAGCTAATCTAGTGCTTAGTACTTAGTACTATCTGACTAGAGTATGAGTGCAAGTTAACAGCTCCACACACTGCATAATAGGTTATCATGCTCAGATTTGACTCCTTATACCCTAAATTTAGGCAGTGGAGTATAAGCTACAATCAAAACTGTCCTGTGGTGTGTGAAGGTGTTACCTAGCTTAGCTAGCAGGCTAACAACGCCATACACCATATTTGTCAGTGTACTAGACAGTCGTGGAATGGAAATTTGACACTGTCACAGTGTTAAAATATTATCAGATAAAAAGTGTCAGTGTTAGTATAGTTATGTATGTAAAGGGAAGGTTAGTGGTTACAGTCACTGAGTCTATATTTGTCATGTTATACAGTGTTACAGGGATGCCAACTCTCACGCATTGGCTGTGAGATTCACACAATTCAGTTTAATCTTATGCCTTTATGCCGCACTTGTTTTTTTTAAAATAAACTTCCAGTGAATCTGAACTTTCAAAACACATTTCCCCCCATTCCTCATAAAGAAATACAATACCCAAAGTACAATTTTGCAATTGCAAAAGTTTGCTGAAAACTGTTTGGAGTGGAGTGATTGACATTGTTTGCGTTGCTTTTTGGGATCAGAAGGTCATTCCGACATTGAAAACATCTCACACAGTCATGTACCTTTGTCTTTTTGTTTGTTTTTAAAAACCTTTTTTGTTCCAATTAAATGATTATAATCTTATGATTCATTTTATAGCTGGTTGGTTTAGTTGAGTGTTTAAAATCTCTATTTATCTCTATGGAGGAAATGAATGGGATTTTTACTTCCGGAACAATTGCCTCTGAAAAAAAGTTATCACCTAACATTACTTAAATACTCTGCTGAAATGTAACCGTAGTAACATGTAGTCAACCTATGTATGGCATCCGTATTTAACATTGACTGCTCTACATGTGAAACGCTGATCTTGTATCAGTTTGCCAGCATGACATTGGAATGCCCTCGTACTTGGGCTGAACACAGTGGGCTAGCTACATGGTTGCACTTATATAATTAGTAGCCAGTGAATACTTGTGTAGATTTGATATGAACACTGAGCAACCAATAAATGATTATCATTAAGGGGAAGCTCGACGCCACCTGCCAACACCGAAGCTGCATCCAAAACTGCATACTACCATACTAAACAGTATGCCTGAAATAGTACAATATTAAAAATGTGTTCGTTAGTATAGTATGCGGAGAGTGCAAGTCTTCAGTTTTAGACAAAGCGCAAGTCTTTATAGAGTTCACTCAGTGTTAGCTAGCCTTTATAAACTACTTCTGCTGTCATGTGCTCCTAGAAAACTCTCATTAACCAGTTTGCAATTAATTATGGTTCTTCGGTGGGCATAACTCACATGAACTCACCTTTTACTTTAATAAAAAAACAGAGAACTGTGCATACAGCACCTTTCAATACTTGGTACTGATTGAAACTGAGAAAAACTACTCAAAAAAACAAAACAATGTTAAACCAAACAACAGGAGCTCACATGTTCAGTTGATTGAACAAGTAGGATGCGTGTGCTCTTGTTTAATAGGAATGAAAACCTGCAGCCACGCTGGCCTTGTAGATAAGTTAGGACAACCCCACCCTGAGCCCTGTGTAGTAGCTAAACACTGGCTTGTCAAGTTCTAAGTTTTGAAGTTTTGAAAGGATCAAAGGCCTGAGTTGGGTTAATGGCCATCATGCCTGGTTAATGGCCTAAATGCCCTGTCAGAAATGCATGATGGTAAAGGCCAAATGGCCTCGCCAACCAGTGACTAATGCTAACTTGATGATAATTGCCCAATCTTAATCTCCAGATGTGCAGACACACGGGCTTAACATGTGCTTTATGACATCCACAGGGCTGTAGGGCTGTCCAATTCTTTCATCTAGGCTGTAACGGGGATAATGCAGACTTTCTGTCAACTTCCAGAGAGCCAGCTTTGAGCACAGGCTTTAGCTGGCTTTGCTACTGGAGTTACCCAAAAATCTGGGGAAACGCACGTGATCACATAAATGAAATGAGAGGAATTCCAAAAATAATGAATAAAGTTTCTTTAAACAAGTGTTTAAACCAAAGAAGGTAATACACTATTCGTATGCAAATGTTCAGTTTTTAGTTTCAGTTTCAACCATAGAATTGAGTGAACGCCACAGAATGTAGGTCTGAAGTCTGTGACACAGAGAGGCCACGGGACCGGAGTCAGGAGATTTAGATTGTGCAGTGGTGCGCATACAGGTCAGTTAAGGGCAGGGGTCTTAGTGAATGTTCAACATAGCTGTGAACTGTCAAGGCAGAAAGGCCCGATTTGAGAAAAAAATCAGAACTGAGCGGTGAGGCATGTAACATGAACATCCTAAGACTTCATGTGTGTGTATATATATATATATATATATATATATATATATATAAATGTTTACTGTTACTGTTTTTTTAAATCATTACTTAAAGTGTCTCTCTGCTGCCCCTCAGGACTGCTGTGGAAACTGCAGCGACAGTGACGAGGAGCCCACGCGGCTGTGAGGGGTGTGTGTCCGACCCAGGCTCCTCCCCATCCAACTGAGGATCTCATTTGTTTACAATTTTTGCACATTTGTATTTTTAAGATAGCTCTATATAAACATTGGAATGTATATTTTCACTATATAGCCATGCAGTCTATATGTTATTTAAGGTCGACGAAACTAAAAGACAGCAAAAAGGGTCACGAATACCGTCCATCATTTGCAAAGTACTGCAATGACAGGTAAGTCAACACTGTTCAAGACTCAAAGCCTGACTGACCCAAATAGCCCTCTTCATGTTAAAAGCCTGTGTCATAGCCTCCTCGCGCCTTTTCTTTCTTCTTTTTTTTCTTTTTCTTTTATGGTGTTTTCTTTTTTTTTTCTTCTTTAACTGATTACTGATTCTCATAGATGTACAGTGTGTGCTCAGACATTGTTTTAAACAAGGGCGAAAGAAGGATTAAGTATGTTCACACATATTTTTATATTTATATTTTTGATTTTATTTTTCTTAATAGTAAACTTGACAATCAAATGATACCATTTGTACAAAAACCTTGGGAGGGGTTCCAAACACAGACACATGAAATGACAGAACATGTACGAATTTGAATATTTTGGCCTAAAGTCTCAAATGTATAGGGTTATTTCAGCCTGAGACACCTAGTAAACCAAAAAGGCGTGATTTGAAAGAGTTAAAGTGCATATTGTATATGTTGACAACTGCAGCCAATTGTGTCATGTTGTAAATATGCGACACTCATCTGTAAAGCCCTGAGTGTGTCTTCCTGCTAATTTCTCTTTGGATATTTGAGGAAAAATAACACATGACTAGTGTTCAAAGTGGCCCACATGTGCATGGTCAGTCTATGCATAAACCGTTTTGCATTTATAATGCATTTATCATTTTTCATTTATCACGTAGTTCTGTGATTGAAGTAATTTGTTTTATTATCAGACTATGTGCTGATAGGTCGCCACCATTGATAGGCGCATATATGGAAATCAGTTTGTTATCATAATGCATTATAGGTGTGATTATGTGGCTATGAGTAGATTTATCATGCATAATGTCATAGGCTGTTGAAAGGTTTATTGCTGCTTTTCCACATTTGGGTCAAATGAATGAAAACCAGAAAAAAATTTCTTTCACTTGCCAAAAAAAAGAAAATTACCTTTTTTACATGCATTGCCTGCAGTCAGGTTAAGTGGCTAGTTTCTAGGCTTTAACTCTGATGGCCTCTTGTAGATTTGACCTCTTGATGCACTTAAGACCAAACCACTTTAATTTTGTCCTCCATCTCCATGGAAGGTGCCTTTGATGTTTTAAGGTACTCTTGTAATTAGCATTTTTATATGGAAAATCGTGACAGACTTCATGTTATTGTTTGAGTTGGCTTCGCTCTTTGCACATACGCCCTCTTCCTTCGCTGTTGTTTTACCTCATCTGTGTCCTGTGGATGTCCATTCTTGATCCAAGACTTTTGTGTTTTTTTTGTTTTTTTTTTTGTTTTTTTTTTGAACATTTGGACAAGTTGCTACATCTCGATGCAAGAGAGATGGCTTTGAGTCCTTGGAGGCCTGACTTGAACTTTTGGCTCGACTCTTCAACCTACCTATCCATCGAAATCTGAGAACGCTTTGAAGGAGGCCCCAAACGGAATGGGCCTTTACCTCAATGGAGGCGACTTCCTGTCAATCTGCTCTATCCCTCCTCATCCCGCAGCTTACCTTTTTCCGCTCTTCTCCGATACACTCAAGTACATTCCAGTCTCTACCGTACTGTACAGTTGTAAAATTGTTTCAGAATTTTTTTTTCTGTTTTATTTAGCAATAACGGGGTTTTTAAAATCTAACTACCACATACATGTGTAAAAAGTGAACGACACCACAGAAACTAGAGCAAGACTGAACTTCATGTGACTCTTGTTGATCTGTCCCTGAGCCAGGCTTTAACACTGTGAAGGAGGAGATTTGCTAATTTCTGTCACAGTTGTATATTATTATTTTATTTTTCCTCTTACGCGATGCACTGATGTATTTCTGTTGTGTACATATTAAGTGTTCTAAGTATGTGCGGATGCCTAAATGCTGTGTGTGTGCTTGTGTGCGTGCGTGCGTGTGTGCGGATGTACGTGCGCTTATGTTTGCGCTGCATGTGCCCATATTGTTCATCATAACCACTAGCTGATGCCATTATGTTACGCCCCTATATACGTGAAAATGTTACCATGTTACTGCTGAGGGAGCTTTGGGTTTTTTTTTAGCTTTGGGGAAAGTTGAACATGTGTTAGTACTCATCATTTCACATATCTTCTACATAATTCATTTTTACCTCATCAGGAGTGAACGGAACTGAGTGCGACCAATCGAAAAGTGCTGAAAATAAAGACTCCTCCTTAAATCAGTACTTAAATGGCATGCTAGTGCTCATTTGAGTAGTCCTGAATACAACATACTGCCTTTTGATGATGTGTCATGACCTTAATTCAGCACAGCTTCAGGCTGAACAGTGTTAATGGATTGGAGACTTATAGCCACAATAAACACATGATATGATATAAAATCTGTTGCCATTTCACTGTCACTCAGAGTTGAGGAGAAATAGCTGCTGCAAAAATGAGCCCACCACTACTGTAGAACATATATACACTGTGGAACCTAAGGTGTTGTGTGTCTCCTCAACTTCTACTGATTTCTCAAAATTTCTGCATAATTAATGGTTGAGATGTAAACAGTCATACAGAGTGAAGTAAAACAGTGCATTGTAGAGAAGCTCTGATTTTCTTTATAGTGGTGCTGATGGGAACCAGGGGCCATTTCATTTTCTATGTAAACGACTAGTGAACTCACACTCCTCTGAGTTTTTTATATGTAATGTTGATAATGGTGAAATAGTGGTAAATCTGGAAAAAACAGGTTTTCTTTGGGACTTTTTTGCCTTACCCTGCATGTACCCCCCTTCCATAAATGGATTTTAAAAAAAATGTTTTCGACCAAAAGCTTATTCCAAAAACTATCATAAAACAACGTCTCAGACATCAGGCAGTGTGTTCATAACCATTTCTTGCAATACTTTCCTGTGAGGGAGCTTCTATTAGCATGAAACTTTTCAGACGTCTGGTTCCTATCACCACCACTGTAAACAATTCTGACTCTGTCAGATTCTGTAGAACAGTGCATTTAACATCAAACCACTTCTAGTGACTTTCTTTACATCTTAATGGTTTAATTAAGGAGAAATGTAGAACAATCAGTGGAATTCCCCTTTAAAATTACTGTATTAATGTCAATTACTTAATAAGCAAACCTTAATATTAATGCGACTCACTAGTAAATAAACTTTAATTTCAGTGTCAGTAATTTTGTAACTACTATAATGTAATCTTAATGTAGGTATTTTCTAGGTTAGTACAAATCCCCCAATGACTGTGTGAAAAAACAAATAGGGCCAGTAATTAAGATGCTGATGCAGTGCAGATGTTTCTAGCTATTCATCATAATGCTAAAAAGTAAACGTAAACAAAGTTATATATATTGCACACCCGAAATGCTGTAGGTATGCAGCTTTTTGAAACAGCTAGTTAAAATTTGACACCATTTCAAATGTGCCAGGAGATGAGTATTGGGAAAAAGACCGCAACTGACCATGCATGACTACTTCATGAACTTTATTCACTGCCCCATTTCAATTGTAGATAATTCATCACCACCCATCAACAAGTTTGCCAAGCGTTTATGTAAAGATACACATAGAAAATATAGGACCTTTTTATCAGGGACATACAGATTATATGATGGTATATTACTCTGCTGTGTCACTAGTATTGATTTCTTACAGCCTTACAGACGTCCCTCACAGTCAACCGTATTGATTTTTAGTTTAGTTTTTTAAAGTCCACATTTTGCCGAGGTTAACTGAACTACCATGACTCACACTATGATGTGTAACTCATTTTGTATTCTGCAATACATTGAATTGTGCTGGCCTTGCTGACCAACAATATCCAATTTTGAGTTCCATTCTTTTTTCAATGCAGTTGTCAAGTGCCACAATCAACCTTTCCCGTGAACTGTTTGCCTGTTTGAAAAAAAAAGAGGCAATTTGTTGGTTATATTGTTATGAAATGGGAAACGCCTAATGAAACCCTGTTCAATGATCACAGAGAGATGGAAATAGTGATGATGACGAAGGTGATCATGCTGAGTAAATGTGCTTTCTGATGTCAGCACTCCTCTCCCCCCTCCCCTCTGCAGTTCTTTGACCTGTCCTCCATACGTGCCTGTGAAGATTGTACAATGTGCATGGCCAATTATGCAGGCCCTCTTTGTAACACACAAACTTCTCTTTTTTGTCCCAGTTATTTGTTTCCTTTCATTTTTGTTTGTTTCTGCTAAATATTTTCAATAAATTTTTGTTTAGTTAGTCCAGTGTGCCTATCCAGCTCACTACCTCTTTTGGGAATATTTCTCGAAAGAATGTGCACGTCCTGCTCTTGCCAAGTATTTCTCAGACTGTGGCGAGCCCCCTTTTCACTCCTTATATAACCATATTTAGACAGATGGATTGTGGACATTGCATCAAACGTGACTTTCGTTAAGCAGGGATTGGACCTCAAACCTTTTCTTTGAAATTTAGAAAAATTGACCTTTAATATCTTTGCTGTTATGATGCGCTTTCTGTTTGTGAGCTTCTGCTCTCTGCATTGCATGCGTTGTAGCTGAGGCTTGCTGGAGGAGCTTGACGCTGTATGTGCAGAGAAATGTAAGAAAAAACAGAAACTGTGAGTCAATACCTCAAGGGTGAGTCAGTCAGTACGTTGACACATTTTTTAAAACAAAATTCTTGATTTCATGATATGATGGCTCTAAATATATAACACCTTCTCATGGTCACATGGCACTGATTTTCAGTTAAAGGAAACGTTTGGGGGAAAAAAACTGTAGTTGACCAGACAGGACATCCAGAGTTTTGTTCTAGAACTGCAAGGCTCATGTAGTTAGCAAGTAATGGAAGTTTGGAAGGCACCAGTTAGCAGTGGAAAACCCTCAGGGCCTTCTAGGCCTTTGCAAGAGCCTAGTGATTTCTGTGAAATTAAAAACAGTAATCTGCAATTCTTAGTTAATTTTTACTTAATAGAGTCATTGTACTTGTTGTCTTTAAACTTCTATTTATTGTAGTAAAACTCATTTCATTGTTAGGTTTTGATTGGAAAGGAAAAGGTTAATTTTTTGAAGTGGACCTTTTTGGAATATTGTCCAGCAGTGATTTTTTTCTCTGCGGTGTTTAGGTAGATAGTAAGGTCAGCCATTGGTAAGGCCTTCAGGAGCTGAACTGAAGGCCTCGCTTAGTAGATGGCCTACCAGCATAATTAGAAAGTGACAGAGGAATCAGTCAATCATGTTTTGATTTACAGTGGGTCCAGTGACCAACGTCTTGAAAAAAACATCTCTCTATAAGTTCTAGACATATCACTGCCTGTGAATGCATAATAAGGACTAACCAGTCCATGTCAGCCAGTTGTTAGAAGTGAAAAACAGCTGTGGCAGCTCTAAGCCAGAGTTCTTTACTGAAGACATTCTTCAAGGTCAATCAAAGTCAATTATATGTTAATATGTATTTTGCAACTTTTTACAACCAAAGCACGGTCTTTTACAAGCTTTGAGTGTCTGCATGTAATGGAGAATTGCTGTTAGCCTATGGCTAACATACTACTGGAATCCCATGGGGCACTTACATAAAATAGCATTATTGTAGAGGTGTTTTTTCCTTGTTTTGACAGAATTTTGATATTTGTGGGCTGGAGCGAAGGCTCAGCTCTAAACATCACAGTTCACCACTGCCAGCCAGCATCGTGCAAACTCCTCAAACTGCCAAGTTGTTAAGTGAACTCAAATAAACTTGCTTGCTAGATAGGCATATAGTTTGCACAGTGCTAATTGGAGTTCATAGACTTCCATAACTTGTTGGTTACGTTAGCCTTGTAGTTCCAGTGCTAAAGAAGCAAACGTCACCAAACATGTCTTGGCTGAGTGACTACATTTGCAGTTAATTTCCGCCAAACTACTCCTTTAATACCCAGATAATGGTTAGAACACATCGATGTAGTGTACTTAGGTTAATGCTCAAGGTGCCTGGGGGCCATTTGGGCCTTCTTCCACAGCCGTCCAAATTATGACTTGCGTTTTCTTGACGCCAGCGAGGCTGCGTCCATCAGCCGCAGACCGGCCCTGCTGTCTCACTCTCTCACACCTCGCTCTCCGCTCCAGTCCTCCCCTCTGTTGCCCGGCAACGCTCTTTAAGAGGGCTTAAAAAGAAATAAATAATGCCGCAAATAGACTCTTCTTGGGTTTTTTAACATGGAGAGGGGAGCGAGAGCGCGCCCGTCGCACAGTGCATCTGTCTCGAGCGCTCGCAATGGCCCTGAGAGAACAAACGTTGTTTGTTTGAGACAGTTTGAGATGCCAGTAAGAGAGGAAACTATTTAGCTCACCAAGGACGTTGGAGCTGTTGCTTACGTTTTTATCGGCTGCAAGGTGACTGAGATAAAATCTCCCCTCGCTGCCTTGCCTCTGTAGCTATTAACATCTTGATTGGATTCATGCTAATGATCTGTGTTTGGAGGGAAAGGCCACAGTAGGCCCGTGTTTGGATTTGCATCGGAATGAAGTGTAGGCTAGTTGTGATATTCAGTCATACATTGCATTAATGTAAACGTCAATAAGTAATTTTAGATGATGTTCTTATTGTCATGTTCATATTATGTGTTCAATTACTAACAAAAGTGACAAATAGAACATTTTTCATGACAGGCATTTTCAGTGTATTGTTAAAAAATGAGGCCTGTACAAAAGTTATGGCACATTTTTTGTTTTTTAATAATCAAATCAATAGAAATTGTGCGGTAAAAAAAATGCCCTTTGTCCCTTTAGAGGGAGTATTAACTTACTTCTACTTAGAAAATCAACAAAATGTGGTTTGATAAGGGTGTTGAGGGTGTTTTGCATTCAACTGTTCATATTTTGAAAACACCAGCTGCCCTTTACATCCAATAAAATCTTGTTACATTAAGTTAGAAAGTCTTTTCCTTTTCCTGAAAGAGCACCAATTTGGAGATATTAGATTTTGTTTCCAACCAAGATGTTATGCTGTTTCATTGGTAATGAATTGCAACTGTAACTGGTCACAATTAGACGTAGTGGAGCAGTTTTTTTTTTTCTAAATAACTACTTTTTCTTAATTATGGACTTAAGAAAAAATAGATGTTAAATTTTTAGTCAGTAGTACACTCTTAAAAAATGCTTCAAGGGTTCTTTAGTAAAGAAGATGGTTCTGTATAGACCCAGGAACTCTCAAAGAACCCTTTGCATGATTTAAGGGTTCTTGGCATCTTGAAAATGTTCTTCAGG